CATAGAGTAGTCTTCGAAAGGAAACCACCGTTAACAGACCACATTTAAATGAGGGATTGTAAGTATTGTATCATTTTGAGACAATCAACATAGTCTAGTCTTAATTACTCTCTATAGTGTCTGTCTCTTCTCTCCATTTATCTATTATGTCAGTGACCTCATGAGTAGTCATGTCATTCTCTGAGGTATACTTTAATGCTACTTTTTTGTTGATCAAGTTGTCTTTTCAGAGCCATTGAAGACTCTTTGGATTAGCTCCTATGTCCCACTGTACATATTCCACTATGGAAGGCTATTTGTTTTGATTTGATTTTTAGAGCTTTTCCTTACTTTCTGTACTCTGATACTCAAACACAATCTTAAGAATGTTTTGCTTCAGTACATTTCCATCAAAATATTTCAAATATTTCTGTTTGCTTTGTGGTTCACCAGCTCTTCTGAATGTCTTGGTTTTTGATTGAAGGGGACAGTTGTGCTTATCTTTTTGAAACCTAGATGCCCATCAGATGACTAAAGTAGCCTGTTATATTATTTGCCTGACATTTCTCATTTGTACACAAAATAATACCTCAGATGCTTATCCTCCTCACTTATCTGTGTGGAAGCACCTACCAGGTGGTAGGCAGTGTTCTGGATGTTCAGTGGGTAGTTCCCAGGCTAGTGAGGACACAGTCATCCTCCAGGAATAAGTGCTGTGGTGGAGCTTGCTGTGCATTAGAAGAAGGATAACTTCTTGATGTTTTAAGGATGATATTAATCAGCCAAATAATGTAGGAAACAGTAAGTAAGGCAGGGCAGTAATGGGTAAAGGTCATGGGGATGCTTGAATAAAACATGCAGCTGTAACAAAGAAAGTGGCACTTTGGAGGTATAGCAAGGAGTTCATTGCAACTGGAGCATAAAATAAGATAGAGGAGGTGAGAGGTGAGCATCAGCAAAGAAACCACCATGAAAGTTAACTGTTGGAGGGTTTGAAAGCATGAGAGAAGCATGAGAGTGGCCACTTTTGTTAGCACTGTAGACAGTGAATTAAAGCAGCTAAGCAACCAGATGAGGAATCCATTCCAGTAATGTAAGAGATAAGGAGAGTGGTCACAGTGATGAAATAGAAACCTTATCAACAGATGGGTGTGAGGGTGAGAGGACTGGTGGTCACTGAAACAATGACTAAAACAGACCTCACCTGTACAGACCTGACAAATAAGTTACATTCAAAAAATAACTGCAAAAAAACTGCATTAAATCCAGCAATTGTTCATTGATAAAAATAGTACATGTGAATGTCAAATAGTAAATAGCTCCAGGATATCATATGCACAAGTTCTTAAAAACAGAACTAAAGAAACCAGCACTAAATATATAGAATTTTTTTTCCAAATAAAATGTTCTCCTCTGGCTCAGATCTTATAATTCTTGTACAACAGCCCAACTTTATCTGTTTTGCGAGTGCCTCCAAAAATATTTTCTTCCATTTCCTGGCAGTGCTTAGCTGGTGGTATCTGTTATCTCTGGTAGAAATCATAGTGATATACATTTGTGCCATTCATTAGTGTAATCTCCTCCCAGTGTGCAAATAGCTGTAAGTTCAATACTTAGACAGATCACAAATGTTCTGACCTACTTATGTCAGTTTATACAAACATGTTGACTTATCAATGCCACTGTAACACTAGTTATTTTCTCTGCTAATGGTAAATGTACTTTAAAGGGTTTTAGTGACTAGAATATACTCCAGCTTCTAATTGAATCTGGCCATTGTTGGGAAATATCTCAGCATTTCTTTAAAGCTACAAATGATAGCCCATTTTGTAGATAAGAAAATTGAAACAGCAACTTAGATATATTGCCTCAAACCTCTGAGGCTGATAATACATATGTCTTTCATATATATTCTATTTCAAAACTGATACAGCTTAAAACAAGCACATTCACATGTCATATGAAAAGTTTATATAATTCCTTGTTTACAGAACGTTCTAGAAGAAGGGGAAAAGCATCTGAAACATAGCATTGTTATTTTTATAAAACGAGATAAAGAAATTGGAAGCTATCTAAGAGGCCTCAAGACAGTAACAGCCTTCCCTAATTAGAGTGAATTTGATTTTTAAAAAGTAATTATCAGGGCTATTGATGTCCACTGAGATACAAAACATAGTAAGAAACATGTTCACATATTGGCTTGATCAGTAGCAGTGAAAACTCTTTGCCTACTATTGTTTTGTTAGAAGTTCATATCAGTAATAAGCAGAAGAAACTCCTGGATTGGCTGTGTAAGTGGTTACCTAGTGTCTTAATAATGAACTCAGGGTGACACAGCTTCAGAATAACTATTCTAACTGTATAGAAATTCACTGAGTCTATAGAGTTTGAGTCTGGTTAATTTCATTGTCTAATGTTTTTATTTCCAAGGGGTTTTTTTTGCAATAAAGTTAATTAAAAATTTAAAAATAATAAGGAACTGATGAGTTGATCTCTCAGATGTAGTATATATTCTAAATAATCTATTCAAGTGGTTAAGTATAAATCATTTTTACATTAAAACTAGCCCTGTGTAGTACACGCTCCTGGCCAACTGTCCCAGTCCATTTTGGCTGGCACAACAAGGTACTGTAAATCCAGTAGCTTATAAGCAACATAAATTCATTTCTCACAGTTTTGGAGGTTGGGAAATCTGATGCCAGGAAATGAAGGTGCCAGAAGATACAGTGTCATTCAGTGGCCTTTTTCCTGGCTCATGGATGTGCTTTCTCACTGTCCTCACAGTATGCAGAGGAAGGCAGCCCTCTGGAATCTCTTTTGTTATGACACAATCTCATATATGAGGGTTTTGCCTTCATGACTTATTTCCCAGCTTCACCTTCTAATGCTACCACTTTGGTGATTAAGTTTCAGTATATAAATTTTAGGGAGTAAAAAATCATCCAGACCATAGTATCTTTTTTAAAAAAAAAACTACCATTGTAAGCTAGTCAGATATTATTAGTCTGTGGAATCTATCTTGATTTTTATATACCAGAAATACAGGTTCCTAAACATTTTTAGTAAGATCTGAAGATAACACTAACCATGCTTCATATTTTCAATGTCTTTTTGGTTGAACTCAAGTTTAAAACTAAGGCATAACTCTTTATGTTGTGATTGCAATCCCAATGAAATCTAACTACCACCAAAAATAATAATAATCACCTCCTTCATACATTTACCAGGTAGTAGCATATTAAATTTGTCAAAAACAGTCTTTAATATCAAATTTAGAATGATGGATCCAATGAAAGGAAATTATATATAAAGTTGTGCCCAGCTTTTAATATGGGTATTGGAGGTCCTTTACAGCAAACACTTTACCAACGCTACAGGTTTCTAGAAGTAGACCTTTTGATGACTGTTTTATAATGCCTGAGCACCACCCTGTGCTAGGGAAGTTTAGGGTGAGCCTGGAACATGTGCCAAAAAGTAAAGAAATACCTTTTAAGCCGGGCGGTGGTGGCGCACGCCTTTAATCCCAGCACTCGGGAGGCAGAGGCAGGCGGATCTCTGTGAGTTTGAGGCCAGCCTGGGCTACCAAGTGAGTTCCAGGAAAGGCGCAAAGCTACACAAGAGAAACCCCGTCTCAAAAAAGCAAAAAAAAAAAAAAAAAAAGAAATACCTTTTAAAAAGAATGAAAAAGAAGATGGGAGCATAGTCATTAGAAGTATGAGCCAGCCTGAAGTTCTGACTGACCAAATGTAGGGAAATTGGAACCTCGATTAAACAAGTTATTGAAAAAATAGGAGCCAGGTAGTGGTAGTACATGCCTTTATTTCCAGCACTTGGGAGGCAGAAGCAGGCAGATCTGAGTTCAAGGCCAACCTGGTCTAAAGAATGAATTCCAGGACAGCCAAGGCTACACAGAGGGATTCTGTCTCCAAAAACAACAACAAAACAAAGAAAAAGAAAAAAATAGGAATTTACGATTTATATTGATTCATAGATGACAGATGTGCCAATAGGTGGATGGGAAAGAAGTTCTAACTGAATAACATAGATAAAATGATAAAGTAAGAAAAATTACTAGTTTGCAACTATCACAGTGATTGTTTTAGGCAAGAATTATAAGCAGATGCTCAATAGAGGTAGGCAGGCTGGCATTTTGACAGAGCAGGATTTTTTTCATAATCTAATTTATCTTCCCACATATCACTGCTCTGGCTACAGGGGCAAACAACAAAAATGAAATGAGTAAAAGGTAAAAGATCTTTGGAAGTGGTTGTTCTATGTATGCACTGGGAAATAGTAAATGTCATTTTTATCATGTTCATATGTATGTGGAATAGATGACCTGAATTCTGTCGTAAGGAACCACTAGACAAGCCCAAATGAAGATCATCCTATTTTAAAGTGGCCTGTATTCTTTAAAATGTCAGGTCACAAAAGAGGAGGTTGGAGTAAGATAAAGAACTAGTCTAGACTAAAGAAAACTAAAGAAGCATGGAAATGAAATGTAAGTGTGGTCCACTACTATATCTTAAAGTAGACGTGAAGAACAACATATAAAAGGACATAATAATGACTGTTGTCACTATTAAAATATGGGTGGTAGACTGCATTAAATGTATTAATATTAAATTTCTCAAATTTAGTAATTACACTGTGGTAGTGTTAGAGAATGCCGTCTTGTTAGAAAATACACAATGAAGATACAAAGAGAAGGGCTGGAGTGATGACTCATTGGGTAAGAGCACTGGCTGTTCTTCCAGAGGACCCAGGTTCAATTCCCAACACCTACATGGCAGCTCACAGCTGTCTGTAACTTTAGTTTCAGGGGATTTGACATCCTCACATACGGTCAAAACACCAAGCACATAAAAAGAAAAAAGAGACATGTTTTTGAAACTATCAAATGTGTATGTAGAAAGTGTGATAACAATATGTAGCATGACATTAACAGTTGGAGATTGAAGTGTATACTATATAGGAGTTCTCTACTTGAGTCTTATAGCTTTTCTAATTGATATTTTTAGCCCTTTTTAAGGCACAAAACGATGTGATGACTATGAAGATACAGTCAGAGAGACTTTCAAAAGAATATGATCGACTCCTGAAAGAACACTCAGAACTTCAGGTTGGTGACATGTATTTATAGATTTAAAGATTTTTTAAATAATAATTCCTTAAATGAACTATTTGGATTGCATGCCTTTCACAAATTCAAATAGTGTGCTTAATCCTGGCTTTATTAAATAACCAGAGAAGCCAGACATTTCTAAAGGGTAAAGATTGACCATTACAGCCAATGCAAAACAGCTATACTATAAAGAATTGCTGACATGCTGATTCAAAAACATTCCACATGTGGTGAAGTTTTAAAGAAAAGAATTGAGCTATAAAATAACAGCATTAAAAAACTGGTTCTGGAAAAATATGTGTTTCACCATCTGGAATGTTTACCATATTTGTACCAAAGTGAGGCTAAATTTTGAAGTTTCATATCACATTACTCCAGTCTTTGTTTTCAGTATCTTAAGGCAAAGAACTATGGCATTCAAATACCTGATTTATATCTCCAAAGTTGTATCACGAATTCTAATTGGTCAGATCACACTACAAAAGTTGATTTATAAAGATGGCGGAAAATTTTGGTTAAAGTAGCTCTCTAATCTAAGCCATGGGTTTTCTTTCTCTGTCTCCAATTTAGCAAGAATCAGTTCTGAACATTCATCCATATTAGATAGGTTTGTCTCTTTTCTCTTCAGTTGTCAACCACCAGCTTGAATTTATTTCCCAGCCACTCTTTTTTGAGGGGTACCAGAGATCAAATCCAAGGCCTAGTAAATGATAGGTAAGTGTTGTAGTACATTTTTGGGGCAAGTGTAGGAAGAACTGATATAGAAGCAGCCTTGGCACGTGACAAATGGGCATCATCCCCATGTACTCTGGAATCAGTCTTGGAATACCTGTGTCAGTCTTCATGATAGCTTCATAGTAGCTTTATGATCCTAAGAGGTAATGTCATCCATCTGAATGAAATTCACTGTCTTCACTATAACACTGAAACAATAATAATGCCTTGCTCGCTGGAGTGTTGAGAGAGCTAAGTAAAATGCAGGGTGCTTGGTACTGCTCCTGGCTGATATAAATACTTAAGAAACATAGATAGCTGCTAGCTAAGCATGGTGGCACACACCTTTAACTCCAGCATTTAGATCTGTCTCGAAGAAAAGAAGGGAGAGAGGAAAGAAGGAATGAATGAACAAATAAGAATGAACTGTCATCATTGTTGTCATCAGTATTACTTCCTTTGTAGTTTTACTGAAAGACTTAGGATGTCTCAAATAGCTGCTTCAGCCTTCAGTTACTCAGTCAAGAAGCAATCTAAAACGTAAATAATCTTGTTCCCAATATGTAATCTAGTCTTGGGACACTAAAGGCTAAATGTATATGGTCTAGAGTAGATGTTTATTTCCACTGGTAGAGATCCTGAAATTGTTGACCTCCTCAGGGCATGACAAGAACTACTCCATGACATACTCAGCATTCATCATGGGAAGACCTCTTGTCTGTCTAAGTAGACTTTACTCCTTCCTATTTGTAAGACTAGGGTCTTCTCAGCCATCATATTTTTCCACACATTTTGAGAGGAAAGAGTTTGCAAGATACCAGAATTGTTTAGGCCCTTAAATGGAAAAAGGAAAACAAAGAATATACCCTCAACCTTTCAGGTCAGTGTCCATAGCTTAATGTCTCCGTTATGGTAACAGTTAATGGTAACAATTCGATAGGGGTAACTCCTTAACCCTGAAGAATATTTAACAGTTAAGATTTCCTCCAATCTCCTCACTATCCCCCCCCCCAAAAAAAAACCACTTTAAGCTTGGAGATTCTTTGTTCTTAGCAAAAGATGTGGAAAGCTTTTGTAGGTATACTCTGCCTAAGAAAATATGCCGCAATATATACAAATGTAGATGCTGTACCTGCTTTGGAAAAGAATCCCATCCTAGATAGACTAAGTGCCATGTAGTGCAGATTGGAGCCTTATTGGAGCACATGTAACCCTTAGTACCTGTCTGTATTCTGTTTATGAAATACCAACATTTATTCAGTGTACTCTGGACAAAGCACCTGGCTAATGGTCTTATATATGTCCCTTGGCAACTCAGTAAGCTAAAATATTTTAGTATCTCTGTTTAGTGGGCAAAGATGTCAAGAATCAATTTTTTTTATGTGATTTGCTCCCAAGTTACTGAACTAGAAAGAACATTTAAAGCTAGGCGTCAAAGTCAGGAAATCTTTCTCTACAACCTCCATCATTAACTGGGTTCTTCAGCCTGTGCTGGTCATCAGTCTGTGTATTCTTGGATCCATTCTCTTTCTACCCCTGCCCTATCCCATGTGGAAACGTGCATTTCCAGAACCTTGCTTTCTGACTCCTGAGCAAATTTAGCTAGTGAGAGGCATTAGTAGAACACTGAAAACAGAGAAAGCCACTGATTTCTCCTATTTTCTGCTCTAGGTGACATTTCCTTCCTGGCCTCCAACTCTTCTCTCCCTGGTCACAGTTGCAATGGGCAGCTTCCATTTGCTGACCTTTACCCATCATCCACTCGCACCCTCCAACCAAGAGTGGTTGTGGTTTTGTGCTGTTGTTAATGTTTGGGCTAAACCTTACCACTGTTTTGTGTGCCTACTGTGTTATCACCTGTAATTCTAACTTCCTGAAGTGTCTGTTTAAAGGGTTAAGTTGCTCCTGTTGTAACCCTCTAAGTCATTTGACATCCAGGTGCCTTGGCTACTTCATCACTTACATGAGAGATAGGGTACCTTAATGAGCACCAAACCAGATCCTGTTTCAAAACAGAACTTCAAATATTTTTAAATAGGAAAGTCTCTGTATAGCCATAGCCATAAGATGCTTAGTTGATTTATTACATTTTTTCTCCTATCCACCCACCTCCCCATTGTCCACTATGAAAACTTAAAAATCACGCTGAAGTTTAGATGTCATTCCATGGACCCATCTTCTCACAAGTGACTCTTTAATATCTACAGTCTGAACAAGCAAAGAGAGTGGAAACTGTTCTAGAGTATAAAGCTGAACTTAGCTTGTCCTCATGAATTTTACTTCTATTTTCACATCAGTCTTAGTAATTTAATTGTATCCTAAGCTTCCTTGGGAAAACTTAAGTTTTTCTCAATTTTATAAAATTGTGATAGTGTGAATGAAACAAGTATGAACAGTTGTTTAAACATTAAAATGGTGGAAAAACTGGTTTCTTTTCCGTAATCAAATCTCATTTTGCAGCTTTTAAATACAGCTGGGGCCCCTCCTAGTTAAAAGCATTAAATGAATATTAGAAAATGGTCCCTTTAAAACATACATAGTCTTTTTTTCTTCTTTGGCCTGGCTGTCTTCTAGAAAAGGAAAAAAAAATGACTAGGTATTATATGTAGCACAAACCATCAACACTTGCTAATTTTTAAATCCATTTTAGAAAATCACCTTTCACATTGAGATTTGCTCTGAGCATAATAGCATTTTTATTAAAACTTTGATTTATTTCTAAAGTGCTCATGTATGTATAAAAGTGTAGAAGTAACATGTCATTCAAAATACCTCCTCTCATACTTAATTGCTTACTGTTCTTATAAAAGCATTAATTCTCAGCCTTAACAAGAGGTAGTGGGCTTTCTGTGTAAATGCAGTAACATTCTGCAGTTCCATTCTCTGAGATTTCTTTCTTGATATAAACATTTATTTTCTTAATCCAACTCTCCTTTTAAGGTTAATTCCTATTTCATATCTCATTGTTTTTTGTTTTACTTTCCTTCATCTTTTCCTTGCCAAAAATCTTAATTGGGTCTGCCATAGGGGAATTTGAAAAATTTTGTTTTCCTGGGGTAGCTGTGAAGTGAGAGCAAAACAGATTAATATATGAAAAAAATGAACCTATCAGGAGACTTTACTTTCCCCGCCTCTGAATATTTTTTCAAACAAAACTCAGATTTTATAGTGTTTTCATTTTTTTTTACTTTCTCAATCCATATTTTAAATATTTAATTCTCTAAAAACTAGACAAAAGACAAATTTTTGTAAGTCATTGTCTCTATGAACTTGTTTATTAATCCATCTTTTTGTTGTTGTTGTTATTACAGAACCGTTTAGAAAAAGACAATAAGAAAGGCCTGTGAATTAACTTCGTAAAAGAAGATTGTGATACACCTTGTCAAGAAAATAAATTTGTTATCATGGTAGTCACTAAAACTTTCAAAATTCAGCCAAAAAAAAAGCTCTGCTAGCAGCCACAGGTGCACATAGGCTATATAGTACTGATGTTACCAATCTTTTGAAAAAATATAAGCATGTTAAATGCCATATTTACATATTGCTAATAGCATTTGTATATGGTGGTTCTTTACCCATAAAAGGAAACATTCATTAGCCATTTACTTCCCAAAATGGATCTGAAGTTGCATGAAACCATTATTAGCCTTGAAAGCTTTGATGGGTTTTCAGTAATAATCAGTGGTGGTGGTGAAATGATGTTTGAAAGTAGTACTCAGTCAGAAAATTTGTTCACAGGGAAATAAGGAGAAGTAACCACATAGCCACTATGTTTATAGAAGAGAGTCAGAGAGAACAATGAAAACAATGGCCTTAGGGTTTCTTAAGCCTGGTGAGTCTACGATTTACTGTACATACAACAGCACTGTTGTGAGCTGTGTTTTTGTCACTGTGCTTCTATACACATTAGACTGTTTTTATTGATACATGTTTAGTCATATAATCAATATTCTACCTTTTTAAGTTCATCTCGTAACGGAATTTTTGTCCATTAGTGTAACTGTCATAACATTGAACTGAACTTATGTTGCGTTGTGGAATTATCCACTTACAAAGCTCATTTATGACATCCAAAAAGCCGTGTATTTTATGCTTGTGAAAGTTACTGATTATATAGGTATTACCTCAGTATACATGCACTGGTATCATACAGATCTCTCTACAATGTTCTATGTTTTCAAAGTTAAATGCTGGTTTTCTTGCAAATATTCATGTAGAGGTAGTAATTACAGTAATATGATATAGATTATTTCAGTGTTTAACTATGAAAAGCCACTTGTCTTAAAATGACAAATATAAAAAATAAAATAATAATTAGAGTTTTTACTTCTCTAGTCTTTGTTTTATCTTTTGTTGTTCATTATAATTTTAATGCCAATTTCAGATAAAGGTAAGGAGTTAGTGTTAGTTTTACGCGGTGCTGTTTCCTACTAGGAAAAATCACGAGGCACAACAAAATCCACTATAAGAGTTTATTAGGCCACGTGGTGGTGGTGCACACCTTTAATCCCAGCACTTGGGAGGCAGAGCCAGAAGGATTTCTGTGAGTTTGAGAGGCCAGCCTGGTCTACAGAGTGAGTTCCAGGCACCAAAACTACACAGAGAAACCCTGTCTGGGGTGGGGGGGCTTATTAGGAAAAGGGTCGGACAGGAAAGGGTGTGCTCAGGCCTGTTTGAGAGACATGTGCAGAAGAGAGGGGAGGGTACATGGGATCTGCCTTTTATGAACTCCCCCCGCACATGCGCATATGGGCCCATGTGGCTACACCACTCATGCACATGGATTATGTGACCATGCTGCCCACTGATTATGTAGGACATGCGGTCCCAGAAATGACTAGGTGTCTGGCCAGTGCATGCACAGTCATGAGGGTGTGATAGAATTCCTATCATCAGGACTCTTTGTTCTTATAAAAAGAGAGTGGATGAGTGGGGATGGGGGCATTGTGTCCCCCGAAACTGCTTCCAGCTGACTTGGTGGGTGCCGGTTAACTCTTGGGGAGTAGGGAAGGGGCTTCTGAGGTAGCCAGACGTCCTGGGGTAGGGGATTGTCGTCTGCTGCTTTGGAGTCATCTATCATCTTTCTCAGCTTGGGACTCTGTGGCTGTTTGGGTCTGAGAAGGTGCTGGTGAGACAGAAGAAGCTTAGAAAAACAGTTTTACCTTGGGGGGCTCCCAGGGTGAGGGAGGAGGTCCCAGGACCAGGAAAGTTTGGGTTATACTTATCTGAAGTAGATCCAACCTGTCCAGGTGGATTCAAGCTGGTTCTAGAGCTCAGAAGAATTCTTAAACATATTAAGAAGCAGCCATGGGGAATTCAAAATCTTGACCTGGTAGCCATGATACTGTAATGTTTAGTACTCTGCTATCAAATTTTTATTGGTTAATGTTAGCAAGAGTGAGAGAAAGAGATTTGGAATATTTTTTAATTTTTAATTTTTACCTGAGATAAGTCTTATCTGAGACAGATTTTAAGGCACCTGTTTCATTTACTAGTTTAGCATCCAGGAGACACAGGTGATCAACTGCTGAGAGCATTTAACAGTAATAGACTGTTATATTAAAGTCTGTTTTTGCAGAGACCAGACCTTTTTGTGTCTGGGGGTGTAAATACCTCTGGACTGTTACTGTTCCTTCCTGCCTGGGTATATTTGATGGTCCTTGGCCTCCAGCTCTATGGTGATCCTGTAATGATTAGCTGAGTAGTTAATTAGGAGAGGGAACCAGAAAAGAAGAACTTGTGGGGTGAGACCTCATTCTTCTGGAATTGGTGACAAGGCAGTGGATCCTGGTGTCCTCTGAAACAGGGTCCCCTGTCTGTGTCACTGTGTATGAAGTGAGATTTTTCTGGGGTGAGGGTGAAATGAAAGGCTTCAGGTGGGACAGGTAAATCCAGTGAGGAAAGCCCTCAAGCTTAGCAGCTGTGGGGGTTACAAGAATTACCTTGAAGGGTCCCTGCCATTTAAGGGAAAGGGGTGAGGGGTGCTGGCCTGGAGGAGAAAGGAGAACCTGATCCCAATGTGGGTTGAGGGTGGGCATGAATTACCACATGGCTGAGGTAAGGAATGGTCTGCAAAATTCCACAGGATAGACAGGAGATGGCAGAGTAGGAGAGTCAACAGATAGTCTGGGAGGGGTAAAGGTTTGGATACAAGGCTCAGTGGAGAAATTGAAAGAGGCCTTTTGAGAAGGGCTCAGAGCCTAAAAAGAGCTAGAGGTAATAATTTTACCCAGTCGAGGGGAAGTTCCTGTGACATCTTAATAAGAATGGATTTTAAGGACTGGTTGGTGCACTGCACCTTTCCTGAGGACTGAGGACGGTATGGGATAGGAAAATGCCAAGGAATATTAAGAGCCTTAGCTAGTGTCTAGGAAATCTGAGAGGTGAACTCCCAGACCATTATCGTACTGACGAGAGGCAGGAATCCCAAATCAAGGAATAATTTCCAGGAGAAGGAAATCTGGACTGTCTGAGCCCACTTATTAGAAACTAGATATGCCTCCACCCAATTTGAAAATGAGTCCACCATCATGAGGAGATACTTAATTCTTTTGACAGTGGACGTACGGGTAAAATGGAGCTGCCAGTCAGTGCCTGGAAGGGAACCTCTAGCCTGGTGGGTGGGAAAAGGCTGGCTTCAGTATCTAGTGTTGGGATTTGTCTTTTGGCAAATTTCACAAGAAGCAGTAATAGTTCTTTAGAACTGTAAGTCCTCAGAGGTGGGCTGCAAGTGGGCTTTTATGAATTGAGACAGGGCAAGACTACTAGGGTGAAAGAGCTGATGTAAATAAGACAGAATTTGCCTAGTGTCAGGAGCTGCCTGTGAGGGTGTGGGCTGCACTGTATGAATTCCCTGTAGTGTTTGAGGTGAGACTTGGCCCTGGAGGGCCACTGTCCTGGCTGCCTGGTCAGCACGGTTAGTTCCCTTAGAGATGATGGAGCTGTTGGTCTGATGAGACCGCCAGTGGATAACTCCTATAGCCTTGGAGAGGTGGGAAGCTTTTAGCATGGCCATTATTTGGCCTGAGTTAGACATGAATCCTCCCTTTGCTGTGAGGAGCCCATGCTCTCTCCAAATAGCAGCGAGACAGGAGGATATGGAAAGCATATTTGGAGTCTATGTAAACATTTAGGGATTGCCCCTATGCCAAATGGAAGGCACGGGTGAGGGCTATCAGCTCAGCCTGTTGGTTAGTGGTGTGTGCGGGTAATGCCTGTGCTTCTATTACCTCTGTATCTGACACTATGGCATAGCCCACTTTACGGGTCCCCTCATGTAAAAAGGAGCTGCCGTCTGTGTACCAGGTATAAGTAGCCTGAGGTAATGTGCCCTCCTGTATGTGTGAAGGGTGAGGTAACAGTTCCTCTAAGGTTTCAGTGCAGGAATGAGAAGGCAGCATTAGGTTGAGGGAGGAGGCTTGAAATGTTAAGGGGTGGGCAAGTCTGGAAAGGAAGTGTGGCAACTTCCAGTAATGCCACCTGGAGAGAAAGAACCCAGGAGGGAGGTAAAGTTTGTAAGACTTTATAAGTTAAGAGATGGGACAGGTTATGGTGAGAGAAGACAGTGGTGGGTGACCCAAAGGTTAACTTCTTTAATTCCTGAATAAGGAGCTCAGCAGCTGCTGAGGCACGAATACAGGGTGCCCGTCCCTGAGTGGTAAGATCTAGTTTCTTTGACAGATATGCTATGGGTGCAAAGGAGGGTCCCAGCTGATGCCTAGGGTTCCAAGGGCAAATCCCTCCTCTGCTACATAGAGGGAGAAGGGACAGGTTGAGTCTGGGAGGTGAAGCGCTGGGGCCTGGAGAAGAGCCTGTTGGAGCTTCTGGAAAGGTTTAGTAATGGGGTGAAGGAGGGGCTCACGTGGGGAGACCTGAGCTGCCTCATATAAGGGGCGAGCAAGGAGAGAAAAAGATGGAACCCAAGACCATAGGAAGCCAGCTATTCCTAGGAAAGACAGAATCTCCTGTTTAGTAGAAGGGACTGCAAGAGACTGGATTAGATGCTTTCTATCTACAGTAATAGCCTTGCGGGTTGGAGTAATGGCTAGACCCAAACAGGTGACCTGAGGAGTGGACAGCTGAACTTTGGAGGGGGATACCTGGCTGGATAAGAAATTTAGGAGAGCAGAGGTGTTAGTTTGGCTAAGTTGCAGTGACAGGCTGCAGAGTAGAATGTCATCTACATACTGTATGAGTTTAGAGCCAAGCAGAAACAGAGAGAGCAGGTCAGAGGCCAGAGCCTGACCAAATAGGAGGTGTGGACTCTTCCTGAATCCCTGTGGCAGAATAGTCCAGGTCAGCTGTGTGGACAGGTGAGTGTCAGGGTCAGTCCAGGTGAAAGCAAAGATATTTTGAGACTGAGGACTGAGAGGAATAGAAAAGAAGGCATCCTTGAAGTCTAGAACTGAGAAGTGAGAGGTTCCTGAAGGGATAGTGGACAGGAGAATATAAGCACTACCGGATGGAAAGAGACCACTGCAGAGTTAATGAGTCGGAGGTCTTGAACCAGGCGGTAGGTTCCATTAGACTTTTTAACTGCAAGCATGGGGGTGTTAAAAGGCGAAGAGGCTGGGCAGAGCAGCCTTTCCCTGAGAAGGTCAGAAATGATAGGTGTAAGTCCTCTTAGGCTCTGGAGTGAGAAAGGGTACTGAGCTTGGGTAATATAAATGGCAGGGTCCTGCAACTGGATAATAATAGGGCGGGGTGGTGCCTAGTGATAGAAGGTTCTGGGTATCCCAGACTTTGGGGTCCACCTAAGAGGCTGGCAAGGGAAATGATCTGTTAGTGCTAGTAGGCTGGGTGGCTAGGAGGAGGAGGAGGAGAGGAGCTGCTGACGAGTCTGGAGTGAGGCAAATGGGGGAGCAAATGAAATAAAAGCTCCTACCTTAGCTGGAAAATCTCTTCCCATTAGGGGAACAGGGCCATTTAGTTAGTACCACTAAGAAATGTGTAGAAATGTGAGAGGGATGCTCCTGAAAATACAATTAAGTTGTGGGATCTGATGAGGTAGGTAAGGCTGTCCCCCTACCCTGACAATAGGGAGATGAGGAGAGGTAGGACCCCAAAACTCCCTCAGGACTGAGTTAGTGGCTCCGGTGTCCAAAAGGAAGGAAATGGGTCTCCCCAATATAATTATGACTACCCTGGGTTCCCTGTGTGAGATGAGTGTGGTCAGGCTGGGAACCAGGCAGCTTCAGTCATCGCTGAAGGCCAAGCCTAGGAGGTTGGCTGGAGGGTGGTGTTGATTTGATGCCCCCGTGCCACGAGGTGCACAAGGGCAGTCAGCTGACCAGTGTCCCTGTCGGTAGCACTTCAGACAAGACCCA